TTTTTGATCATTTCTGGGAGTTATTTTCTTTGTGGAGATGACAATAGATACTATGTCAGGCACAAGTTATATAAAACGTAAAACGATTTCAGAAAAAATTTACTTTCAGATATTTAAATTATTATGTAAAAGAAAGGCTAATGTGTAATCCTTCTTTCAAAAAAGTTACAAGTTGCCAGGCAGCAGAGAGTCCATGGATGTAAGTAGGAAAACAAACTCTTCCCTTCATTCTTATGGGAATTGACAAACATCCTCCCCAAGGAACTATGAGCTAGACTGTAAAGAGAGAACAGGAATTGAGGCAAATACTTTGTATTGCAAGCTGTGGTTCAAATAACCAAATCAGCAGTGACATGGGAGGCATATGCATCACTGTATGCGTGTGCTTTGTCTGTATGCCTGTGCCTTTGTGTGTCTGTGTACGTGTGTATGCGTGTGTGGGTGTGTGTGTGTGTGCATGTTTGTGTGTGTTGGTATTTGGGTTTCTGTATTATGTGTGTTTGACTGTACATCTGCATTTATACACAGGTTCCATATGCTTGTATAGGCACATTTATACATTTGTGTGGTGCACTCAAGCCTCGGGCACTGTGTTCATATTTCAATATGAATCCTCGGCTGACCTATACCCAGCACTGTCCCTTACCAGCGTTGCTTCTTCGGCAGTTACAGTGTTTTTCTGAATCTCAATATCATGTATAAAACAGCATGTGCAGTGCTCACCATGAAACCAAAAGATCAATCGATGTGCTGCCAGACACCTAGCTATTTCAGCAATTAAGTTGAAATAACTCCATTTGTACAAATTTTGATTACTTTTTCCTTGCAGAATCTTCAATATATATTATTTCCCTACTACACAGGAATTTTGATACCAAATATATGGATGGCCCAGAACATGCATTGTCTTGACTAACACGGCAACTTCACAGATGAGGCATGTTTTCCTCTACTGTACATCTGAGGGAACTGAACTGTGGAGGTAAAACAGTGTGCCGAGTCATTCAGGGAGTTTTTCCAGGGTGGAGACAAACTTTCATCTAGTAGCAAGGCTGGCCTGACTGTCCATTCCTCACCCTGCTCTGGCTGGAGGCCGTAGTGATGAGCAGAAACATGGAAGGTATGGAAATGAAATTAGCATCCTGGCGGCCTTTACCCAGCTGATGAGTGTCTTATGCGCTGACACTCCTACTTCCTTTTCCATCAGGCTGGCATGTGATTCTTAAGGTCAACTCACCTATGCTGCTCAGGGATGGGGACTGGAAGAAGGAAGAATTGGGGTAAAATTCAAACTGGATAAGCACCAAGAGGTCGCTTCATTGAGATGTGCACATATGCACACATCTTCAAAGTGCCTGGTGGGACTGGGCTTGCCTTGAAATGTTTTGACAGCTGTATACTGCTGCACAGAACTGCTTCTATTATTCTACCCAAAAAGCATCAGAATGAGGATGGCTGGGAAATGACTGTTCAATCCCTTCCTAAACTTTGCAGTCTCTTACATCCTTCAGCTCCTCAAATACTGAGCTACAAGAACTTGGTTAGCAGTAGCATTATGGTCATAGGAAGTCCAAGTATTGAGCTGTGTGGTTCAAGAAAGCTAGGAAGAAAATTGCCAGCAAGTTACTTTGAGACTAGTCTGGATATAGTTAGTGCAAAAAAGAAGCAGAATTCCATTTACATTATCACTTTTGTTTAGCAAGATTACATAGATACAATTTTGCACAGAAAATTGCTTAGGAAAACGACTCTCCATAGAGCCCTTCAAAGTCAGTTTAATATTTTTAATAAGGCAAATCTTTCTGATTCTCAAGTATTTAGCTATAAAATCTTAAAATCCAATGAAAGTCTGTCTTCAATAAATGCTGCTTTACAACTTTTATTGTCTGTTTAACAACCGAAGAATATTAACATTCTTTAGGCACTTAAAGTCAATCACAATGACAGGCATTGTGTTTTTAAACTGTCTTTCATGTAATTTAATGTAAATTAGTGCCTATAAACGATGTGTTTATTTTTTGGATATTCTGTATCTCAAAATTGTAAATAAGGTCAATTAACTCAGAAAATGGCAAGTTTCTAAGTAGTGTCTGTCTCTAAGCAATTATTTAGAAACATACACACATCTATCTATCTATATAAGCAGATATAACACACATACACACATCTATATATAATTCATGTACTCGCATATACATATATAAACAAATAGTAATGCTTGAAAGATTTTGCCTGTTCATCAATTAAGTGTTTTTCAAAATATTTGAAGCTGGGTGTGTTGGCTCTTATCTGTAATACCAGCTACTTAAAAGGATTGAAATTTCAGCCTACAAGAGTGAGTTCTACTCTGGTGGTTGCAACGTATTGAGACCCTGACTCAAAAAAAAAATCTTATTTAAAAGTTAGGGGGGTGTGACTCAGTGGTAGAGAGCTTGCTTAGCATATGCAAGACCCTGGGTGAAATCCTCAATTTCACATAAAAGAGGGCTAGAGTTAGACTTGCTATGGAAAGAGGACATGGTACCAGGAGAGTTGACAAGGCCAGTCTGTTCATGAGACAGAGGTAGAAAGCAATTTTCCTTATTTGAAACATCTCTCTTAAGTACAGTAAATAAATAGCATAATAAAGTCACTTTTGTCAGATCAGAGGTCAAAGTAAGAGTTGCAGAAATGGCTTAGCTGGCAAAATGATTGTCTCAAAATCATGAGGATCTGAGTTCCATTCACAGCACACATGTGAAAAGCTGAGAGTAGTGGAGTGTGTTTGTAATCCTAGTGCCTTGGAGGCAGGGGCAGGAGGATCCCTGGGGATTTCTGGCCAGCTAGTCTAGCTGAGTCTGCAAGCTCCAGGTTCAGTGAGAGTCCTCGTTTCAAAAAATAACATGGAGAATGATTAAGGAAGACATTAGACATGACATGAACCTATGATCTTCCTATGCCTACACATACGTGTGCATGTGCACACCCCCCCTCCACTTGCTTGCACAATAGTGCAAGCACACACACACACACACACACACACACACACACACACACACACACAAGAATCAAGCTACTTTCTGGAGTTAAGTCGCTCCTTTGAAACTATCCAGATTCTTCCCTCTGTATAGCAAAGTTAACAACCAAAACTACTACATGCAGTTTTGAAAGGAGCAATTCAACCCAATATATGAAAGTGTCTGTAAGCTCACTTCTATCTTCTTTAATGAAGGAAGTATCAATATCTTTTACTTGTTTCTCTGGCCACCTGTTCTGAGCACTCAAATGCATGACTTTGGCCTTGTCATCAGTACAATCCTATTCACTGTTTAAAACTGCACTTTGCCATTAGCTTAGGCTGGTCATGAAGTGTTTGTCATTCTCTCTGAAATTACAAAAATATGCCAAAGGATCAACATGGAACCACTCCACTGTTAGAAAAGCAGAGTGGGCCTTAAAGATCTATTGATGGAATCACATTCACCATCCATCTATAACAGCAGGCCCTGCATACTTTCTGTCTCTCTCCATAGCCCCATTGTTCTTTATTACAAGCTCGCCATCAGACAAACACTTGAATTGTTGTGTTATTTGTCTCTGGTGTACTGGAATATAAGCTCCTCTTGAGCAGGAGTATTTGCTGTTGTCCCCTCTACAAGAGCAAAGACAGCCCCAGAAGAATGAACGCTAGCCACACAACCATTAAACACTCATATCTGCAACCAATGAAGCCTACAATGGATCACAAATGCTTCACCAAAATGGTTATGCTGTCTTTAATGTTTCAGTGCTGATATGTAAAGGCTCATAGAACGATTTGTTCATGTCTAATGTTTCCTGCTATCAGTTTCATCAGTGGTTTTGCCTGCTTAGTTCTTCTGTGTAGAGAGAGGAACACTCATGCCTCTAATGCTAATCTTAGATTTATAAAACATAAACCATCAGGAAGGAGTCTCCCCCTCCTCCAATTTCAGCTGAATTGTAAATTCCAAATCCACTCCCTAAGTAATTATCTACCATTTAGTGCTCATAAATTCCCATTCTATACTAAATGGCAAGAAAACACAGCATGGTTATAAACGGCACTAATAATAAACAGCTACATTTTTTTTTTAATCTCCCTCTGTTTCCACAGCACTTGGGAGATGTGTCAAATTATTCTACAGCAGATTGGAAGGAGGAGGTTGTGATAGAAGTCATGGCCTGACTGCTAATGACGTTGTTTCTGTGTTTTACAGCTTGGGAATCACTGTGTAGAAAACCTTGGCTCTGTTCACTAGCTGTACAGAAGATAAACCTGTGCAGTTCTTGAAGGAGAAAGAATCAGTGTAGGCGGAGCAAAAGAACTAAAGAGGGATAAAAAGAATCGCAAGATAGTGCTACTTTGATGGATCCCGAGGAGGGACTTGGCTCTGCCTTTACACAATCAGACAGCGGCCATGTGGGGAAGAGAACACTTTCTGTATTTAATGTTCTCGGGTCTTTGACTCCTTGCCTTTGCAAAAACACTCCATTTTGCAGGATATTCCTAAATGAGATTCTGTACTTTCGTGAAACAGGAAGACACAGACTGTGCTTTGATTTTTAGGACAGAACCGGTGCAAATGTGGACTTATTAAATGTTGCTGAAAAGAGTGTAAAGGGTATAGACAGTGGTACCACAAGTGTTCTCCTGTGACTTTCCTCTCCCTTTGACCTTCACTTGGCCAATGTATGCTGCTTTCAGGGATCTTCCGGACAAAATCCTGTGATTGGTTAGACAGTGAATTAAGACACAAATGGGTATCAACTTGTCTTCTCTATTGCAGAGAGAGTGATGGGCTATAGAAGGAGAAGGATGGCTTATTTGAAGACATTTGGTCATCCAGATAGCATATTTAAGTCTCCAGTATACATATACATGCAGCAGATGCACAGATTTGTCCTGATTTTAGCATTTTTGGTGCTTTGCCAGAGGCGGACTAGGAAAATTCAGCAGAGACTGGCCATTTCAACTCGTGCGTGCAGAAAAAGGCACTCACCAGCGCTGACAGTAATGGCTTCAATGAACTGCTCCCTCCAGCTGTTTGTCCCCACCACAAGGGCCAGGTTTGTCTTCTTAATGAGTTTGTCCACAGTGCTCTAGAAAAATGCAAAGGAATAAGATAATAACTTCTGAGGTTGTTAAGGCCTCAGGAAATCGAAGACCTTGTTGATGTGGAAACTTTAGAGTTATATAAAGGGTAGCAGATGTTAGGCTCAGAAGAATGGTATTGATATCAAACACTGTTATGATTATGCAAACAATTGTGGTCTTTAGTTAGAAACATTCTGAAATGGAAACTTCTTTGCAGCAAAGACAAGCCTCTTTCATTGACTAATAGCCAGTGAAGAAAAGCTGGGGTGTTCAGAATAGCAGCTATCACAAAGGCCCCTCAGCTGCTTTGTGAACTTGCTTTCCTTTGGCTTGTCTGTGATGCGCTGTCTGCGGGTGAATTAATATATAGGCTCTGCTCAACATTACATGTGAACACCCAGAAGTGACAGATTCTGAAACCAAAAACTTATTGTTCTTTTGTATCTCTTCAAATGCAACCAGGTAGCTGAATCTCAAGGTTGCTTGCTGCAAAATGATGAATAAATGGGTATTTTTATTTTATTTTCGTGGGAAGGGGTTATTAGATTTTTCAGTTGGCTAATAGTTATTAGAGAAAACTATTGTTGCCTTAAAGTTGTTGTATCAAGAAAACACAAGGCAAACCAAAGTCAGCACTTGTGCCATAGGCATGGAACATTGTTAAAAACCTCGTACTGAATTTCTGCATTTTTATAGCACTAAGGTGCACGACCACTTGTTTTCTTTAGAATTTGTTAGGCACTTGATTTTATGCAATTAGCACTCTCTAGCTTTCTAATTTGGTTAATGTAATAACCGGAGCAGCCAAGCGTCACAAGAAAACTAAGTAAGCAATGCACTCAAAGCGCTATCACAAATCATGGCAACTACAGGGAGAAGGGTCATTTCCGGGTCACTGAGGCTGCTCTTCCCAGGGAAACTACCACAACTAGTCTACCAAACACCCACACTTACTGTCAGAGCATCCTCGAATTTCCACTAATTGCAAAGAGGTAGAAAACACATATTATTTGTCTTAGGTAAAGATCTGCACATGTTTAATGCAAGGTACTGAACTATGGTTTGAGAGAGATAATATTGACCAAGTAAGAGTGAAGAAAATGGGATCTGAGGGGTTTGTATGAGAGGCCAAAGCCAATTTATAATATCAAGCATGTTAGTTCAAGAAGAGTCATTGGGACTGACTTGAAACACTGAGATGAAAACAAACATGAAAGGGCCCATCTCCAACTAGCTCACTCTGTATTCGCAACATTATTCTTGGCTGGGTTGTATATCCTTAGGATGGTGACCTTTCAGCTTCTGGCCTGGTATCTAGAACTTCTGGTGCCCCTTGATAAGGGCTGTAACAGTCCTGCTCTTGGGCACTATCACTTGAAACACATGACAGGCATCAACCTTTTCTCCCTCAACTCAGCCACATCTCATCAGGCACTCTAAGCATCTTCACTGATGCCAGTTCCAAGTGGAATATAACAAGAAATGACCTCAATTTTTCCTATATGTAATGGAAACTTGGGGCAGCTCTTTCCAAAGGGGAAAGAACACACTTTGGGCCGAAGCCAGGGCTAAGAACTTTATCACCTGAGAGATACGCAACTGAATGCAGACTTCCTCATGAGTATCTGCTGAAGATAAAACTATTAAGAGAAACTAAAGTTAACTTTAATAGATATGAAAAAAACCAGATAGATCTTAAACTTTAGTTCATTTTAACCAGAGAAGAATTTCTAAATTTTTTTCCTAGGGCCAAATTTGTACCCATGCCAGTCCTTGGTCTGTGTCAGAAAGGAGAGTAAATAAAGATGAATTGAAGCTCAGACACTTGACTTTGGACAGCACTCTCTATATTTACCTGGAGGTCTCCTAAAATGTCATTGACTAGTTCCCAACTGCATAAGACCTTCAAGAGATGAGGAGAGCCTCACCCTTGGTTAGTAAAGCCACAGTCTTAGTCATAGCATGGAAAGTAAGAACTTGGGGAATACTTGAGGTTTCACTCAGATTTGGGCATCTCATGCTGTTTAGGAGTTTTGAACAAGTTCTTTAGCTATATTCCAAAAAGCGAAATTCATGAATGAATAATATAATAGTAAAGTTGAGAACAAGGCACTTTAAAAGTGTGTCCCAAGATGCCCTTTTGGTGTTACTGGGTTTTTTTTTTCTTTTATGTATATGAGTACATTGCCTGTATTTTTGCAAGTGCATCCAGGCCTACAGAAGTCAGAAGAGGGCATTGGATCCCCTGGAACTGGAGTTACGGATGGTTGTTTGCCACCTTGTTGGTGCTGGGAACCAAACCCAGGTCCTTTACAAGAGCAGTCAGTGTGCCTAACCACTGAGCAGTCTCTCCAGCCCCTGATAAGGGCAATCATGTTGATAAACTTGAGGATGAGTTTTAAAGCTATTCTAGAAAGTTTAAGAATCCCAAACAATTGGGCTTTATAAAGAAGCTGGGCAGGGGCAGTCCTTCCAATGCTCAGACTGTGCCACTGGTGAGCAGAGAGGGCTTCTGATCCAAGATGTTTTTGCCTGAAAGAATTAGGCAACCCCATGCTTGCTAAAGAAGCTACTCTGCTGTTTCTATCATGGGTGCATGGAAGGAACGACTGGAACTGTCCTATGAAGAAAAGAGCACACAATTCTCTATGAAAAGTTTGGGTCCTGTAGGACAGTGACCTGGTTCCAGAAATGACAACCCTTCCAATCACCTCTGTGGTAAATTACACTAAGCGCTCTGATTTCAGGTGAACAAAAAAAGATACTCAAGGAAGAGTGAAATTGGATACATGTGCACAAAGAACAACAGATTAGTCCACAGAAATGGACAGCCTGGGAGTCAGGAGCTTCTGTGATTACACAAACTCGTGCATGTTCCCTTCATGGGTATATAACATGCCAATACTATGCTACGGTGGGCCTTGTCAATGGAATCTGCTTAAAAAGCCTTGTGCTATAGTTTACCCCTCTTTATATAGGAGTGAATAAAAGGAAACTCCAGTAAGTAGATTCTTTGTGGCTGAAGGATAAGGTTTAATTGCATTCTTATCTTTTTAAAAATTCCATTTTGATTGCAAGGACATTTTTTCACCTGTGACCTATCAGTAACTTCAATTTGGGAACTGAATTTTAAAAACAATAATTAATGAACCCAGTAAAAGGAAAAGAGTTCACTATTATGAAAACCCTAATAAAATTTGGAGGTTTCCCTATTAGTAGTCTGATTCTATTTTGGAATCTTCATTCTGGGTTTTGTTTGTTTGGACAGGCACATTCTCCATTTGAAAAACAAGGAAAATACTGCCTAAGTCTGTTTTTTTTTATTATTATGGTCATTACAAGAAAGGATACACATGCTCATATCACATTTTGGAACTGAAGTTGGCTCAACTTCAAGTGTTCTTAGATGTTAGGACTCCGGGTAAGAAAGTTGGGGGGCAGATTGGGGCAGAGGCAGCAGTTTAGGACTGACAGGAAATCTCACCTTAAAGTCTGAAGTTCAACTCCCATTTTAACATAATGACTTTCATTATCTAGAATTGAGAATCGGGCTGTGTAACACTTGCCTTGACTATTAGAGGCCCTGGGTTCAATCCCAAGCACCATAAAGAAAAAATAAAAAGAACATGAGAATCCAATGTTATTAGCTCACCATTGAGCTCTGTTTCTTTGGTAGACTGTGTAAACACTTCTAGATTTGAAGAACATGACCAGATATAAATGAACACAGACAGTTGGCTATTCTGGAGATTTCTATCCCCCTTCTAAAACAAAAGCCTTCTAATTTCTATAACGCAAATGCGTTGCTTCTACAGATGCCTCAGATTTTTCAAATACAGTGTTGTTTCTTTCACATGTAAAAACCTCTAGAAATCCACTTTTTCTCCCTCCTTGCTATCCGAGCCCTCTCTTTGGGTCACCTCTCACTGGTGATGGGTGTCACCTGCTACGCTCTGTCTGATGCTTTGCAGTGAATAGGACTTCTTGGTTCTCTGATATCTCAATTCCAAGCTGGGTCTGAAGCCGTTTAGTGAATGATCGGGTATCTGAAATCACATTTTCCTCTTTCTGGAAGGCCCAAAGCAGCCCCTTCCAGAAGAGCAGTGTTCGTGGGCATACCTTGAATTCATAGGACTCTTCAATGATCACTTCCAGCTTGGCGTGCTCTCCCAGAATGGGACGGCCCAGCTCTGCGATGCGTCTCTCCTCTTCCTCTTTGCTGGTCAGTGGCTGCTTGTCATCACATTCCTCTGGGAAAGGTAAGACAGTCAACAGTGTGTTCCTTTTTATTTGGAAATCCCTGGATCCTGCTACAAGGAAAGCGAGAAAGAAGGAATCCCTAAGGACCAACTAAAAGTTTCTTGGGTCAGATGGTGAGACTGGAGAGGGGAGCTGGGCAGAGCTTAGTGGACTGGTCAGCATGGCACTGAAGCAGTGCATGACTGTGACATTGTACAGTCTAGTCTCATGAAAGTGAAGATGAGGAAAAGCAAAACTCAGGGCATGTCACTGAGAAAGACCCTGTGGCACAGTATCTGTGCTGAGGACTCACCCAGCTGTTCCCTGTGATGCTGGCTGGTCTGGCTGTCGGCACACATTCTTTCAGCATGTGACCAAAAGGAAACACAATTAAAAGTCCTAAAGTAACCCTGAGGGATGGGAGAGTTTGGATTCTTCCCTTTCATTTTCTAGGGGCAACAGAAAATGCCCAAGAGCCAAAGACAACAGGAAGGGAATCCTAATCTTAGCCTTACATTTGCCAAGAGTCCCTGTCACAGGTTAAGCTCTAATACGTTCATTCCATATTTCCCTGAGATGCCTGGGCTCCAGTGCTTCTGCTCTGGTACAGAGCTGAAATGTGTTAGGAAAGCCTTGACCATGTTAATCTTAAAGTAAACAGGGAGGGTGAGGGTGAAGCCTTTGGGGAGTTAAAACTTACTCACTATGTGAGCTTGATTGTTTCCAGAACCGACATGTAGCTTGTATTCTAGGAGAGGTGGGTGGGTGCTCAGAAAACATTAATAGACTCAGAGTCTATTAATGAGAGGAAGCTCACAGTTGGCTCTCTCTGCATGAAGGTCATTAGGATAAGTCCCAGACTGAAAAGGCCATGCAAATGTGGAGGCAAACCCTTGTCCTGTAATCACACTTATCCTTCAAATCCAGGATGTTGGAAAAAGACAGACCACTTCCTCTTAGTTAAGTGAAATGCACATCATGTCCTGGAAGGTAGTAGTGTTGATATGGCAAAACCTCAGCCTGGGGTAAGACATCTGGACAAGCTGCCAGCAGGAGGAGGCTGCTGCCAGCAGGAGGAGGCTTCTTGCCTAGGCTTCCTGCCCTGCACTTTGCTTTTGGACTTGTGTTTCAGGAGGGGTTCATATCTTCTGTTCCCTCCAGAGGCCATGGCTTCCCCTGTGCTCTGGGACCCTGCTGTGTTTGCCTCCATTTGTTGCTCTAGCAACTGTTGTAGAGGGTAGTTTGCTGGCCAGCTGTCTTGTGAAGATTGGGGTGAGGACGGTGGTGTGTTAGAGACACTGCCAACACCTTCGATTTCAAATGTCAGAAGGAATGGAGGGCAAAGCAGAATGTAGCCCCGTGATGAGTTCTTTAGTATGTGTTTAATGTCTTCAAAAAAGGATATTTAAAATCCTCACTGTAATCTCACCAAACAAATCACATGAAGACTAAAAATAGGTGATTTGGGCCTAGCAAGGAGCTGTTGATGGTGAGCAAAGACAAAGTAGAAATGCAAGGAGATTAATTTTAACTGTAAACCTGCCCAAGCATAATGTCACTGGTAGTTTAGACAGAGTATATTTGTCTCTTCGTTCAAATCTTTGGCTCAACATGGATATCTTGAAGACTTAGTTTGAATAATAATGATTTTTTCCCTCAGGAGAAATATTACTACTTAAATATCTATTTGAAATGCAAAGCTATTGGGGGGGATATTTATTATGGCTATTATTGCTGTAATTTACTTACAAATGATAAGTTGCTGTGAATGGAATTCAAGGTATTTTAGGGTGAAAACAGGTAACAATTATGGAGGAAAGGTGATGGATGTACTGGGATCTTTTAAGGCAGCACTTCACAGAATGAAATTGATTCCAAATATGATAGTAATTAATGCATATGGCAATACATGAAATTGAATCACCCTGTAGGTAAAAGCACTTTCCCCACAAATAATCCTTTGGTCATTCTGATCAACTATAAATGCTTAGTTTTATATACTTAGGTCTGTAACTGGTTCCTAACATTTGACTTTCTTTCATTTTACGATAGAAAAAAATAGTTTTCAGGCATAGAACATTTAACAGTATTTGACTATCTAGAATTTAATGACTTTCTTTTCATTGTAAAAATTTGTTGATTTATTTTCTACTTATAGCAAATCCTATTAGTTTTCCTTGTTTTGATGACTTAAGTTTTTCTTTTAAGAATAAGTTTAGTTAAATAAAATAGAAGGTAGTAAAAAAATCACGTTAAGTATATTATAATATAGTTAGTATACAACAAAAATCTTAAAGAGGTACAAAAATGATGAAAATGTAGGAATATTGGCCTGGAGAGATGGCTCGGTGGTTAAGAGCACTGATTGCTCTTGCAGAGGACCCAAGTTCTGTTCCCAGCCACTCACAGGTGACTAATAACTCTCTATAACTCCAGTTTCACAGGAATCTGACACTCTCTTCTGGCCTCTGTAGGCAGCACACACACTGGTGCACTTTCATACATGCAGACAAAATACTCATACACATAAAATAAAAAATATTTTTTTTTAAATTAAGAAAGAAAATGTAGGAATACTATCTTAGCATCTTGTATTAACTTAAGGAAAAAAAGGCACCTGTCTCTACCATTTGCTACACTCTTACTCTTAGATCTTCACTTATTTATACTTTAAAACCCTGTTTCTCCTTCTATGAAATATACCAATGGAAACTGGAAATTTAGTAAATACCACTCAATTCTTAAATTGATTCCTTAATATTTATTGTGTGCTGAATACAATATTTAGTATATATTGTAAACAAAGTCTCATGTGATTTAGAAATTATTTTAAATTACCTTTACAAACAAATATGTAGCATATAAACTTACAGACCTCAAATATGTCTAAGTGCCCTTTGAACTGTGCTTATGTCAGGCCTATTACAATGTGTAGAATGTTGAGAAGTTAGTATTTGTTGTATGATTCTCCAACTCACTGTTGCTAATATCTTTCATTTGGTCTATTTTTTAAAAAAGGATCACTCATTTTTTTTTCAACACATGTCATTGTACTCTTAAAATATGTCAGCACAGACATGGTCCTCCTCCTTACCCTGCAATCTTCCAGGAACTTATGGCCTAGTGGGAGGAGAGGCATAAAGATGAAAGACTTCTAGGACAGTGTGCTAAGGACTTAGAGACAATTTGCCTTGTCTGTAGGTGTGGGAGAAAGCTTCAGCAAAAACGAGCTACCTGAAACTTCCCTAGAAGCAGAGCTTGTCAGGTGAATGTGATGGGAAGGATGGCAAGGAGGTGTGGAGGTGAGGAGTCACACTCCAGGCAAGGGTACAATGTCGTGGAAGGGTTGGGGTATTTTCATTTGATGAGTATTGTGAATACTTAAAAGATAATTATAGTTACAAGTAATTAAGAGATGATAATTGCATAAATCTTACTATTTTTCTATAACACTGATAAATTAACATTTATGGACTAGATTTTTGATAGTGAGAAAGAAGAGTTGATTCTTCTCCTTACTACCCTTTTATTTAAGTGTACTTTTTATTAAACATGGAAATGGTTTAACAGCATTTTTCAGGATCAATTATTATATTCTTTCTTTTCTGCTATGAGCACTGTATCAAAACATTATTTTATTATAGTCAAGGTCACTTTATTTCCTTGTTATGTAGAGTAATAACATGATATACTTGTAATTTTCTTTCTAAAAATACGTTTTCTGTCTGTGCATCTCTGAGTCACTCTATTCCTCTTTTTGTATACACACATATACTTGTAAAGCTTCTCAGGTTTGAGAAGTTTCTATAGAAAATAATAACATCAGAATCTTGAGTAACCAAAACAATGTGATGCTCCAATGCGCTATCAGCAATCACTGACACAAGTCAGTACCGAGAAGATGTAAAGCAATCCTGTGATGAAATCCTCAGTGTGGGATCACTGTTCTTTTGAGTGACTGATTTTAGAAACAATGATAAAAGTATTAGCTTTAAGTTCCTAGGGTCTGGGAAAGAAGAATTATGCAAAAGCTGCTTCTAATGCTTCCTGGTTCAAGTTGGATATCGAGCAGCATCATGGGGGTGACTGAGAAAGTGGGAACCCTTCCAGAGCACCATGGAACTCACCCGGTTGCTTCCATATAGACATCTGTACCCAAGGAACCAATGAAACCATAATTTCTTTTTATCTTAATAACCAATATAGGATTTATAAAGGGATAACAGACTAGTGGTGGGAAAATCCACTCAGGATTATTTTAATCCTTTGTTCAGAAATGTATGGGCAAGTCTGAAAACACAGGTCATTTGGCAGTGTTTTAGCACCTAGCTGGCCTCTCTGATTGGAATCCAGGGAGATTGATACTGTTAGTCTCTTTGGGAAATTTCTGAAAAAAATCTGTAGTTGTGGTTTGGTGTTGTTATTATTAGCTGGAGGTGTGGTCTATGAGGGTGAGGAGGGATTCACTGGGTTATATAGATGGAGGTGTGGTATACGGGGTGAGGAGGGACCCACTGAGTCATGTGGATGGAGGTGTGATCTATGAGGATAAGAAAGGATGTACATGTACATGTACATGTGTTTCTACCATGGTCAGTGATGGGCAGCAATGATGACTGAAAGAGGAGATGCCCCTGCCCTCAGACACAGACTTTGTGCCAGGAGCTGACATGTAGGCTGCAAATCCCTCAGTGGATGTGGAAGAGTCATGTGGTTCTTTGGTCACCCTGTCAATATTCCTTTGTTTCCTCATGGAGAAACTCCATAGATGTACTATCTGTGCCTCAGAATAGGAAGATTCTGGCAAGAGACACACCCTGGCTTTTAAAGACTTTCATTATATTTGGGTGAGAGAGTCATGTGTGAGAAGAGATATTTATGAGAAATCTGGGACACATTGAAAGCTGGGAGAAACCCTTGGATCAGTCTGTCTGCAGGTCCATGCCACTCCTCCACAATGCCTTCTATTTATTGATAATTCATGGCACCCTAGTGGTCAGAGAAGCTACTGCATTAATTAGCAATGTTTAAGAGGGTGCAGGGACATAACTACATGAATCTAATTACTGAAGACCCAAAGTACATCTGAAAACTGAATTTCAAGGACCATGGTGAAATGAGTACCTGCTATGGTGATTACAGTAGAGGGAATCGGATGTTCTCTAGCATGGACTTTCCTGAAGACAGGTTGGCCTAGCAAAGGGACAGGTAGAAAATCAGCAGAATGGACATTGTTTTGCCATCAGAGACTTTTGAAATTAGTAAGGTTAACACAACACCCAGATGCACACACTGCAAGCCATGTTAGTTTGGGGATTGAGTGGTCCTAGGTCATAGATCTGTAGGCCTTAAGAAGGAGTTCTGGTAGATGTCAATGATTACTAATGTAGATTACTGACCACAAATGGGACAAATGCTCCATAAGTCAAACCAAATTGTGTGTGATTAACTTTGATTATATATGATTACTAAGATCCTGTGGTAAGAGATAGAATCAGTCCTTCAAGTGTCTGAAATGGATGAGCCAGGTCCTCCAATTATTGATTCCAGAGGCATCAGAAAACAATAGAAAGTACTCAGTGTAAAAACATGTGCTGTGATTTTAAAGCTTATTAGTGGCAACTGTACTGTCTTGAATAGGTCATGTCTTCAGTTTTCTTACATACAAAATACATATGTAAATTTCTTACATACAAAATACTATCTGCTGTTTACATCACAGGTTTGTTTGACGGTCAAGGAATATAACCCTGGGGAACATGCTGACTACGTTTATTTCCTGAGCAGTTTGGAGAATGTTATGTATGTGCTGACAAAGTATACAAGGATAATTTATCTTTGTACAACTGTTTCAATTAATCAGCCCTAGAGATTTCATTGAACTTCTAGTCCAATTGACTGCCTGATTCACTTGCTGTTTTCTTATACAAAGACCCATCCTGAACTAAACTGAGAATCATGAGATTTGGGACTCAGTATCAACTCTGTCACTTGCTTTCCACTTAAAACTTGAACAAGAAATTTTACCTCTTGGAGACCTGATTTCCTCAGTTGTAAAATGAAGCAAACTTGGAGGGGTTTCGTTCCTCTAACCCGTATATTAGAGAGATGAAAATGTTTTCAAGTATTAGAATTCTCAAAGTTTTGACTTCATTAAATAGACATAAGCCTTGTTAAGTCTGTTACAAGACCATAATTGGGAAAGTAATATTAAAGAGGTTATTGGATGCTATGTAATCATAGGGAAACCTATAGGTATATGTCTTAGAGGTTTTATAGGATCAAATGTACTTCTCCAGACTGAGCCAGAATACTGAGTTTTACTTTTTTTAAATCCATGTTTATGTAATCTAACGTCCCCCTTTTGGGCATAGCCTTTGTTTTTTCTTTGACTGGAATTTATAATGATGATACAAGATATAGTTGGGTTTTGGATTGAGCAAGGTTCCATTGCATGATTTTTTAAGATGCTGGGAGAAGGAAAAGGTTTAGAAATAAAACATCACTCCTGGACCAGCAAAATGACAGACTTGTTCTAGGATATCACAATAGGGCCTTTTACTTAGAATCAGAAAGCTGGCATTGAGTCTTAGATGAATGATTTGGGACAGATTAATCTTTTTGAAACTTTTTCCTTCCCTGTAAGTGAGAATAATGAAACCCATACAAAAAGTGATATACATTACAAACTATAAAGGGCTCTAATATGTAGAATGTTATCATAAAACCAGGAGGCCAAAAGAGAATGAGATCATAGATTTAACCAAGGATCTTTCAGTGAGGCAAGGCTAGAACAACAGGTAAAGATTTGCAAATTTCAAAAGCACCTACAGTACTTAATGTCTGCCACTAGTGAGATCTCTAAATTATTGGTAGGTGTAAGTCTATGGACCAAATGGCTTTTTTAGTTATCATATATCCTGCTTTAAAATTAGACATTTGTACTCAGCTGTGTAAGTCCATGTAAAAGTTGCAGAACGTTAATTCTTCTCTTCTGTCCTTGTACCTCAAAGCCTTGACTTCAAAGCCTATAAGTGACTTCAAAGAAAAATCCTTGGGCTTTAAAACTTCTTTTCACTGTGTAGACCTAAGTCTTAGAACTTTCTCAGGGGACTCAGTAGCAACTGAAGCCTAGGATGTCTGGTATGATTCAGGAGAAGGATGATATGAAGTTAGACAGAATCCAGATAAGTAAAAATTAGACAGGCCAATGTAGAAAATGCCAGAGAACTCTGGAACATTCATTCTAACTGCATTGATTTAAATACTGGGAGGAGATGCTAATAATGGATTGACACCTATTTTAGGTTAAAGTTTCAGTCAAAGAGGATTTAGTGAACTACTTGACATGATGAAAGCTTTTTTGATGAAGTGATTATGTCACGTTGGATGTAAGACACAGAAAAGGGAGGAAATGATGATATGATAAATATGATACATATCGTAAAAAGAATTCGTAAGAAAAGAAAATAAGGGTCCCATTGACCGAGATACTGAAATGGAAGATAGTTCAAGTGACAAGGAAGGAAATCCTTAAAAATGAAATTGTAATATATTCACTGATGAAGAAAATAGAAAGATAGCCACAGACATGTGTGCCTTTTAAAGAATGTACTCTGTACTGAAACTGTTTTAATGAGGGTGTTGTAAGGCTATACAGGACATAAGGAGGTGTTATATAGTACGTTATTTCCAGAACAATGATTGACTTTAGAAAGATAGTTACTTTCATAAAGCCATGAAGGTTGGGGTGCCAAGTTTCTACCTTCTGCAATTCTCTCAAGAGGAGCTGTTCATCTGGATAGAATCAAAGTATTTCCAGGATGTCATCACTGAGCTCAAGTGGTGCAACAAGAAAAGACAGAAAAATATTCAAACTGTGAAATCCTCTACTTAGAAACAAGTCCTGTGGTACAGCATTGGACAACCTGACTGGGAGGGGTTTGGGTGAATCAGATTTAATGAGTCTTGTAAGATTTAACCTGCTGATTACTTTTACCACTTTAAATTTCTGTGTTTCTAAGAATCCACGATCATTTTGTCATTCAATGCTATATCTAGAGATAGTTTTGATGCAACTGTTCTGTGGAATCCCCATATCCTGGAAGTCCTTCTTTGGGTAGAGTCATAGTTTTGGTACCAACTGTGCATGAGTTAACACTATTAGAGGCTTAGATCAACTCCAGTGCTCAACTACAGTGATTCTATGACTAAAAATTTTGGCAATATTTCTTTTTCAGCTCTTTGATTTTAAATTTTGGTATCTTCATAATATATTGGGAAGTTTTGATATTTGTCTAACATAATACAAAAGGCCATATAGGTTGTAGTTCATAGGTCACTAGAGACATTTCCAATCTGCAACGTCAGAGAAGTCAGAGATGCGAGTTGGTACTTATCTTCCTCTCTAAAGCTGTACAAATGATTCTGAAAAGGTGAGAGATAGGCAGAGTCCATAGTCACCACTTAAGTAGCTGCTGTGGCTGTTTGCATGCCACAACGCTTCGTGTGCTGGAAGGGTGGAGTATTCTGAGCAAGGAAATTGTAAAAAGACTGCGAAGAATAGAAATTGTGCTATTATTAGCACAACTTACAAATCTGTACCATTGGTTTATAAGTGATTGTCAATTGCTCCTGTCTGGGATATGTTACTAATGCTTTAATTGTTGCCTTCAAAATAACATTGTCCCTCACAGTCTCTTTCCCATAATCTCAATGAAATAAAACTTAAATTTATACCTTTACTAAGCAATGCTAATAAAATATTTTAAAATAACACACTAAAAAAGAGATGATGCATTTGGGAATGATCTTCCATTTAGGTATGAAGAAAAAGCTTTAGAGTTGTGCTAAATTATGCTATCAACAAGCTGATACAGCTTTGAATTTTGAGAGTTTTAAGCTTTTTCTTTGGCATTTTGAATTTCTACGGAGCACTTTGCAATGTACTTCAAGTAGTAGAAATCTTACTTGTTACCATGCTGTAAGTACTAAAACTAAATGGCCAGAGAGGGGCTGAAATTGCAGTTCTGAGATGAAGGGAAAGGACTGTTCTCTCCGCTTCCTACGTATCATTATCCACTAAGGATCCCGAGCTTGTGTGGTGGAGCTTCTGTGGCTGCAGTTTCTCGTTTCTCTGATACTAGCAATTGAGCCTTTCTCTGGTACTGTGTGTAGGCATCTATCAGAGCAGACTGCACATTACCAGTGCTATGTGAACACCTAGGGATTGGCCAGTTTCAATTGGCCAGGAACAATTATAGGCTCACCCTGTGAGTTTTCTTATGAGTAAACGCACCACACACAGGCTGTTGTTAATTTGTCAAATGTTAACTGTGTGAAATTAGCAGAAGGACACTCTGTGCCACAGTTAAATATTAATGCAGGGTATATTAAATGTGGGTTTGGTTTGGTATTTAGATGATTTTGGAGTAAAAAGAACTTAAAAAGAGGTTGCCTTACCATACAGGTATTTCCCTTAATTAAAAGGATATAAAATGAGAAAATATTTTTTAATGTAATAACCTGTTTTTCATGTAACAACACATTGAGAATGACCATCAAAATAAAATTAGGTAGCATTAGTTTTAAAAAATTAATACCTGTTATTGTGAAGCCACCTAAAAAGAAAAAGAGAAAGAAAAGTTACAATTTAACTTACACTCTAAATATCAAACATCAGTGACATTAAATACCCAATAATCCACCCAAGGTACGAAAAGTTGCCAAATTTACAATTAAGAAGAATGTGAAAACATCTATTTATAACTGAATAGATGACTCATTCTTTAAAGATTATATAATTTAATGCACAATCTGAATTCTTGTGCATACCCGAGAAATCACTGAGACTTGTAAAGGTTATACTAAAATTGTAATATAAATTATTTGGCCTCACCTTAAATGAGGCCAATGGCCCTAAACAATAATCTTGCTAAATAACCAATAAAGATAAAAAAATCAAGCAGTCAATATCGTCTAACAGAAAGGGAGAGATAACCTAGGAAAATGGAAAGGAAATGCAAGAAATGAAATGCTTACCAAGCTCATTCAACAACAGGGCTGTGAAGGAAACAGACAGAGACAAACACAAAATAAGAGACCAGATGAATAATGGAAGAAAGAGGAATACCGGCAGAAAGAAATCCAGTCAGCTCTGGTTAGAGTGGAGAAAACCACCGCTTAGAGAATCAATGCACCCAAGGGAACGTGCTGTTGGGAATCTTTCCAAATGAATGATCACAACAGAAATATATGTGTGATGGGAGAAAAATCACCTTACATATCATTTTTATGCATTTCATAAGACATGTCTGCCACATATGTTGGCACACAGTGCACATGTCTACAAAATATATTGGATATATTGTAGAAGTTGATCTTTCATTTGATTTTAGGGGGTTTTTCTCAATAATTATTGCCTGGGAGCTAATGAATCAAGCATTTGGAAGTCTTCAATTACCAAAAATCTCATGTACCTTACATCTGAATCCATAAAACAGTTAAGAGTTTCTAAGGAATTCCATTTGATTGCACACTTGGAAGGAGACTTTGGCCCAAGGTAAGTTCTCTCTGGACATCTTACTTGGAAGGTATTTTGGCTTTTGAAAGTGACTTATCCTTTCAAAATGCTCAGATCCTAAGAGAACCAGAACTGACACTTACTTGTTGTTATCAGTAACTTCTGTGCATTAATAGCTAACTAGACTGCTTCTAGTGGATGTATCACTCCACAGACAGGGTGAAGAGAGTGGGTGATCTAAAAGTGGATTTTAGGTTATATTCTTTAAATCCAGTATGGACCACAGCACTTTATAAAAGTCACCTAGTTAATCATGTCAAATGAAAGACTTGTGGGGTTGTCCACAGGAATGTTACCATTACCTTTTTCAGTCCAATTTTCCCTCTACTGGTAGATGCATCAGAGAGAACTTTTAAAAGTGAGCCAGTAATCTCATTTATAATGAGAAGAATCCATTTGGCAGGTGGGAAACAAGATAATGTCATCAAGGAATTTTAATTTGCTTTTATGCGAGGGCATATTTTACTAACATGACAATTGAAAGAGCTGTATCCAAGGCACTCTTTCTTGAAATGAAAGACAGTTCTTTGGAAGAGCACATTTAGAACTAAGTGCTTCCTCACGGATGCTAATGAGGCATTTTTGATCCCACTTTGTAAAACATCAGCACAATTTTTTGAAGTCTCTTTTCTTTCCAGTTACTGACTATGGAATTTATTAAATGCCCTGCATTGCAGTGACTCCAAGTGTTCCCAACGCCATCACTCCAAAGGCTCTTGTTGCCATTTTGAACTCAATTAATTCAGGGATATTTAACAAAACTATTCAGATGGGCTCTAAGGTCAGTGAGTTCTCATAAATGTTAGTTCATATTCCATCAAATATTGGGCATAAACAAGAATTGGTCCTATATATTGCATTTCTTCCTTTACATGTAAAAATATAAACTTCTTACAATGTACTACATGAGGTCTCCTACACTGTTCTCATCAACTGTTTGATACAATTAATAAGCGCTATTAGCATGCGCTATGCTTGATTTGCATCTATAATTAAATGAAAAGAACGTTTTTCAGAGTGGTCACTGGTAGAGGGTAATTATATGAATCCCTGATAATGATTCAGAAGGAAATATTGTGCAGCTGACATAAAATTCCTTATGAAATAGAGTCAATATAAGGTAGGTAAAAGTTAGGAAAGAGAATTGGCCTCTTTTTAAAAAATATTTTTCAAAACTATAAGTGGGAACTAACAAAATATAGTTACAGGGATACTGCTGTTCCATTTATCTTTTTTACTATTCATCTTAAAGTTTTAGTAATTCTGTTAAGTATCAAAGATTTTAAAGCATAGGTTGGATTAGACTAATTCAGGAGTAAATGTTTACAGGAGGGCTGTAGCTTTCAACTAAATAAAATTGATGATTATTGTTTCATATATATGGTACCTGTTTTGTTTTGTTTGTTTTGTTTTGTTTTGTTGTTTTGTTTCTTAGGCAGGGTCTTGCTAGGTAGCCCAGGCTGGCCTTGAACTTTAGATGTTTCTGCTTTGACCTTTCAAGTTTTGGAATTATAGGCATGTACCATCATGCTTAGATTTACGGTTTCCTTTAAATATCAGGTTTGATTATACGGAAAGCATCATGTCAAAATATGAAGGCTAGCACGTTGATCGCATGACTCTTAAGAATCTTTGTTCTTGCTGGTTTTTAAAATCTGGGACCACGTGTGGTGGTGCATACACCCCTCCAGCACTTGGGAAGTGGAGGCTTGAGGATCAGGAGCTTCAGGTCATCCTCAGCTGCACAGTAGGTTCAAGGTCAGCCCCAGTTGCATGAGACCCTGTCTCAAAAACAAAATCAGACAGCACCCAACCAGACCAAATTCTCTAAAAAGACTGATGACTGATTATTTTCTGTTTTTTCTTAGAAACTGCTATTAGATTTATGCTCTCTTCATCGATTTGTACACTAGGCGGTTTTTCTTTTCCTTCCAGGTTAAGTGAGGAACAAGTGCCATGATATAGTACAGTTTTTATCGCTAACATTAGGGGAGATTTAATATTTGTAGTGACATTTTTTAATGAGCCTGAGGTAGTGAAAAACTGTGTATTCTTTTATATTATTATTTTGAAATTGCAGATATCTCTTCCAGTATTTATTAATATTTATTAAATTTGTTGCAAGCAAGGTTAGTCAGTATTTCCTGAAGGATATGGGCATTGCTCGGTGCACTCAGAGATTAGGGAAGGAGAATGGACCGGCTATGCTTCAAAGGCAATGGAGTTTAGTATTTGGAAGCTGAGGAAGAGGAGAGAGGTACGTGTGAGAGTAGGAGACATGGAGAGAGAAGAGTACAATTTCTCGCTGGTATGTCTTTGTATACTCTCACACCTTTCATTCCTCTTCTTATCCATTTTGGTTCCTCAAGCACAAGGAAGAAACTGCACTCTTTCTCATATTCCTCACGGTCAAATATTCTAATGGTAATGATCTTCCTGTGGGAACACAAGACAAAGGCAAAACAAATGGTTGGCGTCACACGCTCATGCTCTAGATGTCCACTGTGATGTTATTGTGATGTTATGGAGGGAGAACTGGCAGCACATGAACCTCCAGGCATATGTAAAAGGGCATCTTGGCTGCTCCCCACTGGCCCCCATTAAGGTTTCCATACTAATGGATCCTTTGCACAGGTTCTTCTGCTTCTTCCCCAATTAAGTTCAGAATCTGACTTAATTTGGACATTGTGTAATATCTGTGCCAACTTTCCCCACCACGGAGGCTTGATTGATTGCACTGAAAATTAACCTTTCAGACCTGCAAGGCGCAGGGTGGCCATAATTGGCTGACGTGGCTGCAGCTCTGTCCCTCTGCAGTCGTGCGAGCTATGCCCTGTTACATAGGTGGAGGAATGTGTGCATTGTAAGTCATGTTCTGAAGAGTGCAGGCATCCAGGGAGGAACAGGCTAGTAGAAGCTGTTGGGCTCAGCCCTGGAGCAGCTCCCCCACCTTTCTTCTCACTCATCTCCACCAGGCGGGGCTCTCCAATCTCAAGGAAGAAGGTCTTGTTTTTCTCATACTCCTCATCATCAATTACCTTGACTGATATTGTTTTGCTGAAACAGAGAAGAATAGAAATTGACGAACAGGGGAAGAAGAAAGCCAAGGAACATAAAGAGGGAAGGAAGGTCACTGAAACACACAGCTCCTTGCCCAGGGCCATAGAACTAATTCAGACAAAATATAATACTCAACGTTAAAAGTTTGTCATCATGAGAAAGAAAAGTGGAAAAACAGAATATAATAAGAAAAGAGAATTATTAAAATATTTAGCTGTTGTGTTGTCTGACCTGTGTTTGGAAGTTCACTGCTGTAGAACATAGTAGAACAAACTGAGATGGCTTAGCAGAAGGCGCTTGCCCCCAAGCCTGACAATTTGAGTTCGATCCCTGGAACCCACATGGTGGAGAAATGATTTCCCCAACTTGTTCTCTGACTTCACACAGGAATAATGACAGGCACATCCACATCAGTGCGTGCACGTGAGCATACACACACACACACACACACACACACACACACATGCATATACACACACATAAAAGTAAAATCACAATAAAATATTAACAGAGATGTTATCCTGAGTGGTAGGGTCATTTTTCCTTTCATTGTGTTTTATTACCAAACGTAACACTTTTTATTCATGACATTTTATTGAAACAATGTATGTATAAAAGCATCGTGGAAGAAAATATAAACTCTTATCTCTCTCTCTTCCCTGTGTCCTAGAATCTAACTTATGTAGGTTCCTCAGATTTTCTACCTTTAGCACAAAAGGAAATTGTTCATGTTTTATTTGCCTTTCTAAAGATGGAAACTGTGTCCTCAAAAGAGCGGGTTTGAAACTGGCATGACAGTGGAGGGGGATGACTCGTAAAACAATTATTTTCATCCCTTAAAAAGATGAATTTTAGCCGGTCATGGTGGTGCATGCCTGTAGTCCCAGCACTTGGGAGGCAGAGGCAGGCAGATCTCTGTGAGTTCAAGGCCGGCCTGGTCAACATAGTGAGTTCCAGGACAGCTGGGGCTACAGGGAGACCCTGCTTCAAAAAGACAAAAAAAAAAAAATGAATTTTAATTTTCATTAACTTTGGCATTCGTGCTACTTTCAGATTACATCAAGGTGTTTTAACAATTTCTCCAGCAGTCCAACCTTCAGTAATGTTTGCTCTATGGTTCGATGTCTGTGAATGATTGACAGGTAGGTAGGACAAATGTGTATATTATGCAAATCTAAACTTCCAGTAATGATAGCAGACATAACTCTTGATGGATCTGAAAATAGATCATTTTAATATTACCATTTAACTAATAAGGCTTAATTGTGCTGCATATTACAATCTACCCAGAGCCTCATACTGAGTTAACAAAATTTGAAAAATAACATTAGTCAAGATGATTTCTGATTAAAGTTTTTGAAACAATACGCTTACCTAGTCAGAGAATTTTAATGATATGGAAATTATTTAATTTTGCTGGCATTTTCAAGATCTTTTACAAAGAAATTAGTTTATAATCTTGCTTTCATTTCATTGCTCAAATCTGTCAAGTTTCAATTAGACATAGGCTTCCTAACCAGCATTTGTCTTCTTTCTCAGGATGAAGGACATATAGTCAGAAGTAGCTTTTAACTCTCAGGATTTCCAGCTCCTAATGCCAAATGCTTAACTCTTACTTTTCTTGGCTTAGCATTGTAGAAATGTGAACAAATGACTGGAACCACATAATGTCTCTTTCCCAGCTGAAGAACAGCCCAATTTCTCCCTCTGAAGAAGTTGGAGCTCCTGAAAGTATCTTTTCTTTTTTTCTCAAAGACTAACACTAGGTGAACAGTTATGAGTGACTAATACAGCAATTATCTATTTCAAAGTAGGTATTTACAAAACTACCAACAGTAATACAAAGCCAGACTACATGTGCAAAAATCTCCTGGTGTTAGGATGGTTTCTGGATTTTACCTATGTACTTTGCATATATCCATAAAAGTCAGTCTGACATGACTAACCTGAGATATTTAATTATTCCTCTACAGATGAAAACACAAATATTTCACATGCCATGTTACTATCCCCAGGACTGATGGCCCAACATTCATTGTCAAGGCCCTTAGAGCAACAGATTGCAATGTCCCCATCATGACAGAGCCATGTTGTGATGTTCTTGCTTTTATTGCTCAGAACAAGTGACTTTTCACTTCTCTATCTCATACTCCCAGGTCATAGCTCATCTAAACTATAGAAGTAAAGAAAGAACATGGTTGGAGTAACCTTTCTAGTGATTGAGTGTGTATGAACGGTGTTGATTTTGATAAAGGTGAGAAACAGGTACCCCCAAAAGGGTCCTTAGTCTATGTACAAATGAATTTAAGAATGGGCTCAAATGGAAGCTTTAGGACAATTTTAGTAGAATTAAGGGAAAAAAAAATTGTTAAAGGCATGCTGTAAATCTCAGCAGTGGCCTTAAGGGGGAGAATGGAAGCAAGAAGGGACAAGGCCATGATGCCATGCTGGGTCCTGAACTGTGAAGAGAGCTGAAAGCTGTCTGAAAGCAGGTAAACAGGCAGTATGGGTACCTTCATATCTCTGCTCTTGACTGTGAATGTGATGTGGATATCTGCTTAAGCTCCTGCACTGATTTCCCCTAGATGTAACCTGGAGCTATAAGGCAAAGTAAACCCACCATTTTCCCCTAAGTTGCTTTAGGTCAGGGTGCTTTTTTACAGCAACAGAAATTAAACAACAGCACATTATAGTAGTCTATTTCCTACATCCATGGAAGAATGAAAAATAGAGTTATACAGCCTATAAAACTCATTCACGTGTTAAATAAGCATTTGCAATTTACCATTACAGTATCATTGTTCAACAGGATCATAATTCTTAGAAAATATTTCAGCATTTGATAACTGTGATGTGGGAAAATGAAATATGAAAAAATAGATGTCTTATAAAGTACCTAAAATAGATGGCATTTGCATAACAGCATCTCATTTCAAGATCATTAGAAATAGAATCAATAATGCCCCTGACAGGAGAAGCCATTAAATTATATATTGATTTAGCTTCTGCAGCACAGTAAAGCTATTAATAGGAAATGTGATTATTAAAGGACATTTCAGTCGATCTAAAGTAGCAGGATAAAGTCAGCCCCAAGTTAGCTCTCTAAATCAAGACAGGCAAAGTTGGAAAGCGGGGTTCACCTTTTGCTTCAGAACAGAAAGGTAACAAGGATGAAATTAACCAAGGCAATTTTCAAAGGAAAATGTCACAAGGAACATGCAACCCAGTTTCTGTCTCTACACTTTATGGAGCCCAACTCCCAGAGATAAAGCTGCCAGTTCACCTACCACAGAACATGTTACATGAGATGGGTTTTGTTTGGTGAAAATTAAAGCCAGACCGGGGGTGATCCCCAGGAGTTGCTTTTGCTCCCCATAATTTAGCAGTAGAAACAAAATCTCAAGGACAGAGAGGGTCTTGAAGAGCTCCCAACATCAATCCCATCTCAGAGGGACACTGCCTCCTTAGATCACAGTTGGATACTGGCTGTTCTGCTCTGCTTACTCATAAGAAACAGTCAGGTGTTATTTCTTTAAATTGACAGGTTGACAAAATCAAGCCTGGAACAGTTGGATGCATAACAGCCCTTCAAGCAAACTCATATGATTACACTGATGAGGATATAATGTAAAACCTAAGGCCTTGCCATCTTTAACTACTGTGATAGTTATAAAGAAGATAAGAAGAAGTGGTAACCCTAAAATCCTCTTAGGGATTAGATAAGAGCTCCCAAAGTGGTCGTGGATTTGATCAAAACACCTTACACGCATGTATGAAATTCTCAATAAAGTTTTCTTAAAAGCAAAAAAATAAAATAAAAGATAAGAAGAATCCACTTAGTGTTTTCACTCTTTAAATGCAACATTGTTTCACAAAGACTATATTTTCTAGAAACTAGCAATTGCAAATCTTATGAAAACATTACATTATTTCTCAACGTGGCCAAAATATTTATGGAAGAAGTTCATTTTCATTCCACTTCTGAAAAGATAAAGAGAACACTTTAGTGTTATTTAGTGGACAAATACAGATCACCCCTTTTGATCTTTGCAATGCCTTTCGTGTGTCCACACCAAACCAAAACTTCTACCTCATTTCTCAGTCTCTCTTAACCTGATTTGTCTCAAAGAACTCAAACTCATCAAACAGACCAGCAAGAAGCCTGTATGTCTGCCGGTGAGTCACTGAGGAAGGGAAGAAAGTCGTGTTTTTCTTAGTGGATGCTGACCAAGAGAAATCTCTTCAAAATGTACTTTGGTTGTGGTTAAACCAAAGTGGTATCCCTGTCTTTTTTACAATGTAAGCCTCAGTTTGTGCTTCTGTGACTTTTTCCCCCTAGGCCTGCCCTTGATGTTGGAAGCTGAGAAAGGAATACAGCACATAGTGTGTTCTATGATGGCTGCCTTGCAGTTCAATTTCTGAGGAAATAAAACTTTAATTGAAAAATGTCGTGAGCACGTGTGGGCTCACCAAAGCTGAGGATTCTGCATCCTCTCAGGGCCCATCCCTGACCCACAGAATCTGCATCGGCATGTTAACAAGATTTCCAGATAACTCCTGTGCATGGTGAAGTGTGAGAAGTGGGAAGCGCTAATAGAAAGGCAAACAGTTTATTTTATTAAGTTGAATAACAAATTAAAAGGTTGGTGATAGGTGGGTTTGTTTCAGGTCTCAAATACTGCAAACTGTGATTCTCTGGGTCAACTCCAGATGAGCTGGATAAAACTGGTCCAGTTGTGGGGGACCCAGTATGAACATAGCTTTTAAAGATGCTTCAGATGATTCTAATACGCAGTCAGGGCTGGAACTGACTAATGGATAGCTAGAATGGGTCTTGTGATGTTAAAAGAGTACATTACAGAATAGATGGAGTTGTGAGAAAGTCATAGTCAAAACCAAATTTTAGATCTAATGAATAATTAGGTTGAACTATGACTCCCTAGAAATCCTGGCTTTGTTTTTCACTGGAGCTTATAGAATACTTAAGAGTTTCTGGT